GGGCCGGGAGAGGAGGAAATGGAGGGGAGAGCGGAGCAGCGCGTGTTGCCAGGTCGCGCGCGCGGAGCGCTGTTAACGCGAATGAAACGAGCCGATGGACCGACCGCAGCACGGTCGGGAGACATCTACGATCGATAAAGGCTCGTAGAGAAAGCCCGAAATCGCGTCGCGCGACGGAAAATCGCGAGAGGGAGAGAGGAAGAGAAATAAATAAAAAGAGAAAGAGAGAGAGAGAGAGCAAGAAACAGATCGGCCGGCAAGCGAGCGATCGGCACGCTTTTATACGAGGTGATAAACGTCTTGCGATTTTTCGCGACGCAGGCAGAACAGCCGCGACGACGACGGCGACGGAGACGACGGTGGTAGTAGTAGTGGTAGTGGTGGTAGTGGTGGTGGTGGTGGTGGTGCGCGGCGCCGCGCGATTAATACAATCGGCAGGTGATTTCTCGTCGCTGATTAAAGCGCCATGTCCCGCGATGGACCAATCAGCTGCTTGGTAAACCGCCGTGAGACCTCGAGTCTGTCCACAGACGAATGACAACAAAAGAGACTGATAGAAGTCGCGCGCGCGAGAGAGCGAGCCCGAGTTTTTTCGCACGCGAGTGTGTTACCCCCGCGCGCAGCCGAGGAGGCCCAGTATATCCGCCGTCGCGGCCGCTTTTTTTCCGTTTACCCCCCGTAGCGCGCCGCGAGTAACGTCGCTTAGCCTGGTGGTGGTAAAAGGTGCCGTGAGGAATATGAAGAGGAGAAATGTCGAGTGCGGTAAGCTTCGGAGGCCCTTGAAACGCAACAAGCTCACCGAGGGAATCTACGGAAGGTAAATTCTCACGCCGCCATATGCGTATCGCGTACGTACACCTACGTCGGGGAATGGCCGTTTTCCTTCGTAATCAAAAACGTAACCAAAACCCTCTCCCTTCCCCTCCCCGACTCCCCCCCTCACCCCCCGCGCCGTCCCCCCTCGCCCATCTCGCGGAAAGACGCGAGTGTTGTAGGTCACGACAACGATAACGACGATAATGATAACGACGACCATAATAATGACGAAAATGATGATTATGATTATGATCTTGATGTTGATGACGACAATAACAGCGGTGGCAACGATCGCGCGCGCGAATGTCGAGCAACCGTGACGCCGAATCGACGCCGCTCTCGCTTGACATTTACCTGCGTCCTGCGATTCGGATGTTCTAAGGACATACGAATCTCCTTCGTTTTCGCCGCTTTCCTATTTCTTTTTTTTTTTTCTTTCGTCCCGCAATCTCGTTCAAATGCATTCATCGCATGTTTAGTACATACATATGCAGCATCTTATGTTCCAATGATTCTTGTTTGTTGCGTATGGCTTACAAGCGGCTGAACACCGCGATAACAGTAAAACAAATGCGATAGTCCAATGGACTTTTCTTTCTTGCTACCTTTTTTTACTTGGAGAGCGTAAGATCTTGTTATGTAAGATCTGTGATGTTTCCGTGTTTTTGATTGTTGACACCAACTTGGTATCTCTTATCTTATAATCCAAACATATTTATTAAATATTTTGAAAGAAAGTATAGATTGCTCACGAAGGTCAGTACCATTTGTTTTTTGTCGTTGACCTGAACTGTATTAGAAACTTTCTTTCTTGTTTTTTTTTTAAATGTATATTTACTTTAAGTACAATAAGTATGTACTACTTGAACTACAAAAAACTAAAGTAAATATAGAAACACATACAGATGTATCAGTCACTGTGAGTTGTAATCTAGCATATGGCAAACATAACATGTATTAAAATAATTATATTTGTTTCAGTACCTTGCTTTATCTGAAGTTTCTTCTACTATGGGCCATGGTGATCTTGGCAGACTTCATTTTGGAATTCCGTTTTGAATTTTTGTGGCCGTTCTGGCTAGTCCTCCGAAGCGTTTACGATTCCTTTAAATATCAAGGCTTGGTAAGTGTCAACGTGTGTTACGCAATTATCAAGATCACGCAATCGGATATTATTGGATATATGTTAAATCTCATTGTCTTTTTACTCTCTGTTTTAGGCTTTCTCTGTATTTTTTATTTGTATTGCACTTACGTCAGACATGATTTGCTACTTTTTTATCCCTGTGCATTGGCTGTTTTTTGCTGCCAGCACTTATGTTTGGGTGCAATACGTCTGGCATACAGGTACGTAAAAAAACAAATGTATTTGAAATGTGGACAAACGTGTAATGTACACCTGTCAAAATGTGATTTCTTCATACTACTGATACTGGTCCATGATATACTTGCAGGAATTCAATTTTTAAGAATCCTGATTTTTAATAAATGTAAGAGATTAATTAAAATGTTCATATTTTAAACAGATAAAGGAGTGTGTCTACCAACTGTGATGCTGTGGCTACTATTTCTATATATAGAAGCAGCAGTGCGGTTGCGTGACTTGCGTCATATGCCATTTCACCTAGACCTCTGTCGGCCGTTTGCAGCACATTGGTAATAGTTTTATCTTTGTTTTTTTTTGTAGATGAATATATCATCAAAAGATGCTTTGTGTATATTATTAGATATAATAGATCTAATAGGATAACCTATTTATGTCCGTTTGCTCCAAGTAAAGTTTTCTGCATTGCGTATTTCTAGCATTGGCTATCCTGTAGTTACATTGGGCTTTGGTTTCAAGAGCTATGTAGGCTACAGAATGAGGCAGGTTAGTAATCTTCAACAATCAATCTCAAACAATTACGTTGATTTATTACAAATACATATCTTCTGTACAATAAGATATTTATCATGGCGATTATATTTATTTTAATTTATTCTTGCTCTCGATAGAGAAAACAAAAAGATGTGGCAAAAGAGAACGAGTTCTACCTACAATTACTGCAGCAAGCACTGCCTCTAGAGCAACAAGCTATGTCAATGCAGCAAATCCAACCGCAAATGCAGCCACAGACACAGCAGGTCACTGCGTCGTTAGAGCAACATGTGAAAACTCAAACACACAAATTGAGTCCACAGTACAATCCAAGTCCTGAAAAAAGCAGAGGTAGCTTGTATTTATTATCAACTATTGTCCCATGTGAATACAGTATTACTATAATTTCCATGATTACACGCATTTTTATGTTTCTGCTTGTTCTTTTAGAGGGCAATAACAATTCCATAGAAACGAACGTACAAAATGGCGGAGTACACACTAGTAGCCCGGTCACATCACAAACACAGACTGCTACTACCAAAAGTACTCATAGAAAATCCTTAGATAAGAGTGAAAAGCAGGAAGAGCAGCATAATAAACACAATGTATCAAATAATTCACCGTCGGACAAAAGCGACAAGAAATTTATACACAGTAATGGAAGTACAGTATCGCACAGTGACATACAACTCATCGAGAGGGTGGGGTATGGTCAATTTCATACTCAAAAATGTATTTCTCTTTAATCACACTTTAATTTCATGTGAAATACTTATCGACACAATTTCTTAAAACAGATCTGTAAATGATTTTGACATAAATGAGGTAGAAAAGGACAAATCTATTAAGGGTTGCGGACATACTACAATAAAATCACAAACAAACGGTTCAGTAGCAGGAAAATGGAATAACGTGAAAGAAAGTCGAGATTCATCGTCGACTACTAATGTCCAACGGGAACGTAAAACTCGGCAGGTTAAAAATACGACTGAAATCACAGC